ACCAAATTTTGTGTCAAACACTAACAATTTGTTTACGGGGTGTGTGTGTGTGGAGGTTTTTTATTTCTTCATTCCTCAGCCCAACTCATATGTCTCGGAAATAGTCCCTGGGTCTTATTAAAATATATCCTTTTGGTTTTTTTGTTTAGGTTGAGTTCAGTTTTTACAGAATGCTTTAAGCAACCTGGAAAACATGTAGGTTTGTTAATTTAAATAAAATATACAATATTGTGGATTTGCCATTGGAATTTCTCCTCATCTCCTATCTCCTCTGGCAGTGGGATGCCATTCCCCTTTGTCCCGTCCTTCTGGACCCTCATCAAAAGTCCCTCTCCAGCTTTCCTGGAGCCCTTTAATTACGGGAAGGGGCTCTTAAGGTCTCCCCGAAGCCTTCTCTTCTCTTCTGAGCAGCCCTGCAGGGTTTTCCTTCCTGTCCCTGCCTGCCAGCCCTGGAGCTGTCACAGCTGTGCTGTGACCTTTGTGTGTTGGCCATCACCCCACTGCAGTGTTGATTTGGGCATCGCCCTCCATCTGCTGCCATATTTCACGGTGCTGCTGCCCACTGCTTGGAGCCTGCTCTCCCCACGTTGTCTTGCTGTCTATAATCTAGGGAAAGTAAATTTCAAAAAAGTGTTGGTGTCTTCTTCCAGGGAGCAAGTGACAGGACAACAGGAAACAGGGGAGGTTTAGACTGAATATTTGGGAAAATTTTTTCATGGAAAGAGTTGCCCAGCCCTAGCACAGCTGCCCAGGGCAGGGGTGGAGTTCCCATCCCTAGAGAGATTGGAAAGGCATGCGGATGTGGCACTTGGGGACACGGGGCAGTGGTGGCCTTGGCAGTGCTGGGGGAATGACTGGACTCAGTGGTCTGAGAGGACTTTTTCAACCTAAATAATTCTTCAACTTGCACTCGGGGAGCAGTGGGAAATTTGATGAAAACACGAAGTTCAGCATCAAGAGCCTGAAGTTCCCTTGCAGGAGGGGCTGCCCCGGTAAAGCAGCACCTGAGAGAGGGCCTGGGTGTGAGCTTCAGGCAGAGCCCGTGGCTCCATGCTGTGCAGGCAGTGCAGCCCTTCGGGACCTAAGGAGTGTCAAAAGAGCGAATAAATGAGATTTCAGTGCCGGTAGAACGGGCACTCCTCGCACACGCTCCTTTCCCGAGCGCACCCTGCCCTGGCAGGGCTCTGCTGCCACCTGCTGCCCCCAGAACCCGGCTCCGGGCTGGACTGAGCACACACCAGCGATCCCTCGGCAGTGACATTGGGAATTCGGTGATGTCAGCGAGCCACAATTGCCTGCAAGGTGCTGCTCGGGGTCCGGGCTGTCCCTGGAGCTCGGTGTGTCCGTGTTGCTGCGCAGGGACACGATGAGAACAGGCGGGATGGGAAAAGCCACCTGAGACTGTCAGCACTGGCTGGGCAGAGGGAGCTGCCGGGGTTTAAACCCACTTCCAGCAGCGCCAAAACAATTCCTGTGTTGTGGGACACTGAAAGACGTCCCCTCTCCCAGCCCAAATCCTGCAGCCCGAAGCTGTTTTCTGGGATTTTGTTAGGATGCCAGGGAAGGGCTGCATGCATTGCTGGGGACAGAATGGCAGGAGATGGAGCTGCAGGAGAGGAGCTCTGGTTATAATGACAGTCACCTGCTCTCGATGATGGGACAGTGTCAGAGCACTTTTTGGGGTAAAATAAGCAATTAGCAGCAACAGATTTATTTTTGGAAGGTTTTGATCTGTGGTGGGCACATGGACGTGTCACGGGTCTGCTTCCCACTTAGCACCTGACACCACGCTGTGCAAGAGCTCTCAGAGTTCTTCCCTTGTCAGAGCCTATTATGGGAAATCAATCCCAGCTTCAGCCTTTAGATCTGCAGGTTTAAATAAAACACCTCTTAGAAAAGAACCATTGGAAAGCATCTGAAAATGGGGTAACAGAACAAAAGTGGCTAGCACAGAGAGCGAATTAGCTACTCATTCCTAGCCAGCATTTCATTGTGGCTAATAAATACCTCATAAACACCAGGAATGATGGTTTAGAAATACCCCATAAACACCAGAAATGACGGTTTGTAAATCTGCTTTGAAAATCCCCAATAATGATGGGATTCAGGCAAAGTGAATGGCTTGCAGGTTATGAGCCTTGCCACAGGCAAGTCACCCTGCCTGGAGAGACAGGAACTGTAAAAGCAGATGCAAGATGAACAGGAATTTTTTTCCAGCAAAAGGAAGGTGAGGGGTTATCCCTACTCCCATATTAACCCCACTAATGTTGATTAGTGGACTTTTAATTCATACAGGAACTTTCAAAGCATCTCAGTACAAATGGGCACCTGGATTTAAAGAGGCTTTTTTAAGGTCTCAGGTTTAGTTCCCCTTGCACGGGGACAGTCCAAGTTCTGTCCCAGGTATTTTGGCCTCATGTCCAGATTGAAACTCCTCTGAGTTTTTTGTTTTGGTTTGGTTTGTTTGTTTGTGTTTGGTTTTGGGATTTTATTTTTTTTTTTTGTGTGTGTGTTATACAAAAAAACTCCACAGCAGTATTAAATAGATCTAAAGAGACACTTTTTGTTGGTCTGGGATAGAAGCATTATAAGTCTGATAGAAGTGGATTTTAAATAGGAGAATACCACAGCGTTAGAAATGCAACAAGGATCAGAGAAAAAAGAAATTATAACCCGGAAAACCACAAATGGTTTGGGAAGAATGAGCTTGGGGAAGGACTGGGAAGTTTTCCTCTGCAAGTGCTGATTTCAGCACAGTTACTGAGTTGTTTTTATGAATTTCTTCTTCATCTTGGGAGTTCTGCCAGAAGTCCTTGTGGTCCATAAATCCTGCATTCCCTGTGCCCACTATCAATGGTTTATCCTTTTTCCCAAGCTTTGTTCAACTCCCCCAGGTCTGAGAGCAGAGACACATGCCCAGCCCTGAGCTTAACAATTCATTTGTTTTTATAATACAGAGGTATCACTTACAGCTTGTTAGAGCGTGAGGGCGGTTGCTGTTTCACACATTCAATCTCACTTTTTGTTGATTAGGCTTGAACGTATGCAAAGTTCAAACATCAGAAAACATCCTTTCTTAAGGAAACTTTACATACCGCACATTTTGCAACGTAGATGACCCACAAACGGAAATACTTCATAAAATGCATTGGCTTCAGACCGATCCCCTCAGAGGCCGACGGCTATTTTGGGGCGTGAGGGCGGGCGGTGCCTGGGCGGGAACGCGTGGGCGGGAAGGGGCGGGAAGGGGCCGTGAGGGCAAAGCCGAGCCGAGCCGAGCCGAGCCCGGGGCGGGAAGGGGCCGTGAGGGCAAAGCCGAGCCCAGCCCGGGGCGGGAAGGGGCCGTGAGGGCAGAGCCCAGCCCGGGGCGGGAAGGAGCCGTGAGGGCAGAGCCCAGCCCGGGGCGGGAAGGGGCTGTGAGGGCAGAGCCGAGCCGAGCCCGGGGCGGGAAGGGGCCGTGAGGGCAGAGCCCAGCCCGGGGCGGGAAGGAGCCGTGAGGGCAGAGCCCAGCCCGGGGCGGGAAGGGGCTGTGAGGGCAGAGCCGAGCCGAGCCCGGGGCGGGAAGGGGCCGTGAGGGCAAAGCCGAGCCCAGCCCGGGGCGGGAAGGGGCCGTGAGGGCAGAGCCCAGCCCGGGAACGGGCCGTGAGGGCAGAGCCCAGCCCGGGGCGGGAACCCATGGGCGGGAACCCATGGGCGGGAAGGGGCCGTGAGGGCAGAGCCGAGCCCGGGGCGGGAAGGGGCCGTGAGGGCAGAGCCCAGCCCGGGGCGGGAAGGGGCTGTGAGGGCAGAGCCCAGCCCGGGAACGGGCCGTGAGGGCAGAGCCGAGCCCGGGGCGGGAAGGGGCCGTGAGGGCAGAGCCGGGCACGGGGCGGGAAGGGGCTGTGAGGGCAGAGCCCAGGCCGGGAAGGGGCCGTGAGGGCAGAGCCCAGCCCGGGAACCCATGGGCGGGAAGGGGCCGTGAGGGCAAAGCCGAGCCCGTGGGCGGGAAGGGGCCGTGAGGGCAGAGCCCAGCCCGGGGCGGGAAGGGGCTGTGAGGGCAGAGCCCAGCCCGGGAACGGGCCGTGAGGGCAGAGCCCAGCCCGGGGCGGGAACCCATGGGCGGGAAGGGGCCGTGAGGGCAGAGCCGAGCCAGGGGCGGGAAGGGGCCGTGAGGGCAGAGCCCAGCCCGGGACGGAGCGGGGCGATGAGCAGCCGGGCGTAGCTCTCCTCCCCGACCGTGCCGGAGGTGGAGCAGCGGGGACACACGGCCGCCTGCCCCTGTCAGGCACCGGGTGGTGCGAGCTCCGGTGTTCCCGCATGAGGGCGTTGGGAGAGCTGCGTTGGGGGAAATTCCTAATAAACGAGGAGAAATACTGCTTGTGATTGTGACACACAACTACTCTTATTTCATCCGGCGGTGTGAGGGAGACAAACCAAACAGTGGAATTATAGAATACCCCCAGTTGGAAGGAATTACACGGATAAGGTCCTGAGTGGACCTTGCTAGCCATAGCCCCAGGGCTCGGTGGCTTACCCGGGGAGGCTGAGAAGCTGCTCAGGGCATCCTGCCCCGCATGATGTCAGTGGGGGCGAAAACCTGGCCCGGATTTGAAGTTTTTAAATTAAATCACCCCTAACTTTAAGCTGGGAGATGCGCAGGGTGGATGAAAGACAGCAGAGCCCGGCAGTTCCTGGGGGTCTGCGGTGCGGGGGTGCTGAGGGAGAGCGAGACTCGCCTTTGTGCACGGAGCGAGGGATGGAGCAGCAGAGTAGGCTGCAGCAGCGGCCGTAATTCAGGCGGCTGTGTTGAGTATTTATTTATTTTCACGGGGCGGTTGAGTGGAAGGCTGGATTTACGAAGGCACGGAGCCTCCCTCCCCTCCCCTCCCCTCTCCTCCCCTCTGGCGGCTCCGGGCGAGGGTGGTACCGCTTCCCGGGGGCTGGAGCACGCCTTCCCGGGGGCTGAGCGCGGCTTCCCCGGGGCTGCAGCACGCCTTCCCTGAGCACCTCTTCTTCCCCGCGGCTGCCAGGAGATTTCAGCCCCGTTTCGCTGCTCTCTGGAGCTGATGGCTGCAGGTGAATTCTTATTCTCGTAGCGTTAAACCTGCATGGGCTGCATGGGTGGGGCAGGGAGGAATAGTGGTTTATTTCAATGGAAAATGATGGGAGCGATTTACTAATTGCTGATTTCAATAACGCATCCCTTTCCCCCTCCCTCTCCACAGCCCACCTCTGCATAGGGGTGTGTAAACTTGGTGGAACTCGAGGTTTTTGTGTGAAAAGCTCTTCTCACATCTCGGCGCAGCCAACATGCCTGAGCAGAGCAATGATTACAGGGTGGTGGTGTTCGGAGCAGCGGGGGTCGGCAAAAGCTCCCTGGTCCTGCGCTTCGTAAGGGGCACTTTCAGGGAAACCTACATCCCCACCATCGAGGATACGTACCGGCAGGTGATCAGCTGTGACAAGAGCATCTGCACCCTGCAGATCACGGACACCACGGGCAGCCATCAGTTCCCTGCCATGCAGCGGCTCTCCATCTCCAAAGGGCATGCCTTCATCTTGGTGTACTCCGTCACCAGCAGGCAATCCATGGAGGATCTTCACCCCATCTTCGATGAGATTTGTCAGATCAAAGGCGACATCCAGAAAATCCCGATAATGTTGGTGGGGAACAAAAGTGACGACACGCAGAGGGAGCTGGATGCCAGCGAGGGGCAAGCGCTGGCCAGCAAGTGGAAGTGTGCCTTCATGGAGACCTCAGCCAAAATGAACTACAACGTGCAGGAGCTCTTCCAGGAGCTCTTGAATCTGGAGCAGAGGAGAACTATCAGTCTCCAGGTGGATGGAAAGAAATCCAAACAACAGAAAAAGAAAGATAAACTGCAAGGCAAATGCTCTGTTATGTGATTGCCTTTGGCTGGACTTGCTGTGCGGCACAGCTGGAGCGTGGACTCCCACAGAAAATACATTTCTGCTGGAGATTTTGGAGGAATCCACGCCCTGCAGGGTGGTTGCTTTCCTCTAAAATCCCCACTGGGTAATTGTATGTGTTGTTTTTAAGGAGGATGGCTTCTGCATGTTTATTTTTTTAAACCAATAAATGTTCCATGTTAGCAATTACCTGTGACTAGAAGTTTTTAATGTTAGAAGTCTTCCAGAGGGAAAAAATGTCTGTCAAAACAAACCTCTCTAATCTTGTGAGTACATGCCAGTTTTTAAATATCTCCAGCCTGTTAACTCAGAGGAAATAATCTATGATGTGTAGTGTTAAATTGTTTTCAGGAATCTATTGACCAGAGCAAATCTATAACAAAGTGAGGCATTTGCTCTAAAAATGAACATGTGTGTGGCTCTGCTTGCCTAAATTTTTGATTTACAGACTGGGTTGCCCACCAAAGCTGCAGTTTTTGCATGACAGAAGCGGAGTTTTCCTGTGTACTGTGCAGTTCCTGAGACTTGTGCAGTTCTGGGAGTGATTACAGCCGCATAAAATCAGGCTTTCATTCCTGCTTTACTTTTTCATTCCCGACTTCCTCTGTGCACTGAGGCAGGATCTCCCACGTGCCCTCACTCCCAGTCCCAGTCCAGGAGTGATCCTTGGTGTCCTTGAGCAGGAGCTGCCTCCTGATGAAGGCAACTGGGAGATTCTGAGTGCCCACTGCTGTAGAAGCTGGTTATCTTCTCCTTGCCTAGCCATCACCCTGGTTTTGCTGTCTGAAGCTCCTTTTCCCAGCTTTCCTGGAATTCTATCATACATCTATTTTTCCCCCCTCCATCCAAGTTACCTGGGATGAGTCAGTTCGGGTAACACTGCCCGGGGAAGGAGCAGCTACACCTGGAAGCAAACCCCTCTCTGATGAGAACTTTTGGCAGACACTTCATGTGCATGAAGGGAGGGATTTAAAAGCTATGTGGATGTGGCACTTGGGTATGTGGGTCAGTGCTGGGGAGCAGTGAACTCCGTGGTCTTAGAGGGCTTTTCAAAGCTAAATAATTCCATGAATCTGTCTCCTAATTTGGGTGTGTTTTAGCCCAAGCAGAAGACTGTAAGACTTCAGTGTTCCACCGTAGGTTTGATTTTTACACAGCAACGTGGTCTTGACACATGAGACATGGGAGGAGAGGAATTGCTACTTTTTATAGCACTTTTCTGGTGAAGTGATTTCATTGCTGAAGGTGAACACGATATGGAACAGGAGGTGCTGGAGGCTTTCAGGCTCTTTCTGTGGATGTATTTGTGTGGAGAATGACCTGAGGGGAGCCTGTGAGAAATATGGGGGCCTGGAGAGCCACAACAAGGGGGAATGGCTTCCCACTGCCAGAGGGCAGGGACGGATGGGATTTTGGGAAGAAATTCCTCCCTCTGAGGGTGGGGAGGCCCTGGCACAGCAATTCCCACAGAAGCTGTGGCTGCCCCTGGATCCCTGGAAGTGTCCAAGGCCAGGTTGGACAGGGCTTGGAGCACCTGGGGTAGTAGAAAGTGTCCCTGCCATGGCAGGGGTGACATTGGATGGGCTTTAAGGTCCTTCCCAACCCAGACCAGTGTGGGTTTCAATGGAAGGTGCTGTAGAAGGGCCTTTTCTCCCAGACCTCTTTGTTCATGTTGCAGGCTAATAGGCAAACCCATGAGATATGCACCCATGTGAATACATGACATTTGAACGACTCTTGGCACCTGGTGCTCCCTTGTCTCCTGTGCTGTCCCTGAGCTGCTTTTCCAGTCTCCTCAGGCTGTCCCTACACACTCATGGGGTCAGATGGAGCCAGGGGAGTTTGCCCCAGTTTCATCTGGAGCCCTCACACCATCTGATTCAGCAGAAAAACTTATCACTTATGATTGCAGAAACAAACCTATCTTCTACAGGAGTGTTTGGAGCTGCCCAAATCAGCCAAAATCAGCCCAGAGGGTCTGCTCCTGATTTTCCCCATTGGAGAAGGGACCCCCAGGCTCCCAGTGCTGGACCTGTGGTGCTGGCTGGTGTTGTCCCCTGTGTGTGACCTCTCCTGGGGTGGCCAGGGGGCCGTGGGAGCAGCCCTGGTGGCTTTGCTTGGACATAACTCTTCCTTTCTCCTCTCTGGCTTTGTGCATGGATTTTCTGTCTCTGATCTTTCATGTCCAAGCAGTTACACAAAGCTCCTCGTGGGTTGTTTGGTTATTATTACAAAAACTATTTCAGTTCCATTGCAGCCTTTGAAACCCCTCAAAGACGTTTTCTGTCTAAGCCTTTTTAAAATGTCAGGAGACCTAATAATGTCTCTACAACTCCCACTGCCTTCGTGGAGATGCCTGTGCAAAGGATCTGCAATTACTCACACAGCCAGGATGTTCTGGAATGTGTCATTAGCACTGCTGTGTGTTCCCTGTGCGGGGTGTGGAGGTCTCCGAGGGCTGGGATCTGTCAGAGCAACAATCCATTGGAACAAAACAGGCTCAGGCACTCCTGCACCCCGGAGAATCCCTGAGGGAGCTGGGGAGAGGCTGGAGAATCCCTGAGGGAGCCGGGAAGGGGCTGGAGAATCCCTGAGGGAACTGGGAAGGGGCCGGGGGATCCCTGAGGGAGCTGAGGGGGCTCAGCCTGGAGCAAAGGAGGCTCAGGGCCCTTCTGGCTCTGCACAGCTCCTGCCAGGTTTGGGATCTGCTCCAGGAACAGGGAGAGGAGGAGAGGGAACGGCCCTGGGCTGGGCTGGGGAGGCTCAGGGTGGATATCAACAGGAATTTCCCCGTGGAAAACGTGGTAAGACATTGGAAGGGGCTGCTCGGGGCAGAGGTGGAGTCCCCATCCCTGGAGGGATTTAAAATCCCTGTGGATGTGGCACTTGGGGACATGGGGCAGGGGTGGCCTTGGCAGTGTTGGGGGAATGATTCAAGCAGATCGTCTAAGTGACTTTTTCAACCTAAACAATTCCATGATTCAAAGCTTCTTTGGTTGCCATGAGACCAAGACTGTGTGGCAATGGAGATGCTGGGGTGCTCCTGGGGGTGCCCCAGTTTAGAAACCCAAACCAGCTGGGGAACAAGAGACACCTGCTGTGGCTGCTTTTCATGCTCTGTAAATAATCTATGTCTTGGGCGTGCATCTCAACTGTACTGTAAATCAAAACTGTATGAATAAATAAATTACATAATTGGCTGTTTCCATATGAGCTGGACTAACCTGGCTTTGGTGTGTGCAATCTATCGTTCTTATAGGAAGGGAAATCCATTTCATTGGAGTGGATGCTGTGTTTTGGAGTGAGGGTATATACTGGAAGGATTGGAAGGATTGAATAAGTGCAGGTTAGAAAAGTAACAGACCTGTAGCTTTTCAGTTATTTTTTTTGATGAAGGACATTCAGGTGAAGCCATCTGTCAGCAATGAAGAGGCAGCTCTGCTGTCTGATGGAGCTGCTCTGGCCTTACCTCCTGTTTCCAGCAGTGCTGTTCCAGGAGCTGGTGACAACATGTTTTTTATGGAGCTGTTTATGCATCCCGTAAACCTTTCACCTTGGAGGCAATGCCCTGGCACACTGTCCTGGAGAGCTGCATGGGAACTCACTAATAATTCTCAAATTGGTTGTTTTATTCTCTTCTTCATTTTGTTCCACCCCAGAACTCTCTGGTTTTCTGGAAGGTTCTTCATGAGGTCAGATGTGGTGAGACAAGATCATAAAAGATGCCGACACAACTTGTTGAGTTGCTTTTAATGCCTCCAGAGTGTCTTCTCGGGATGACGAGTTGAACACTCTGAAAATTCCTTCTGGGATACCCTGAAGGAATCCCCAGACCCGCTGTTGCCTGGGTGGCTGCTGAAGGTGCTGAGGGCAGTGAGTGACTTTGAACTGAACCACAGAATCGTGGAATCACTGAAGTTGGAAAAACCCTCCAAGACCATGAAGTCCAATCTGTGCCCAATCCCACTCTTGTCACCCAGCCCAGAGTGTCACCTTCCCTGGATGGGGACTCCACCACCTCCCTGGGCAGCCCATTCCAATGTCCAGCCTAACCCCGGGTTTCCATGATGGAAAAGAAATCCTTTTCCTCTCTGGGATGCTGAATTTCAAGCATTTCTCAGTTAGTACTCCTTATTTCCATACAACGCTCGTTGACAGGCTTGAGGCAGTTCCCTTCCCGAGTTCGACGAACAAAATCAGTGTCAGAAGAAAACACTGGGGAGGAGAATCACGAACAGCTCTTCTTGTGAGAGAAAAATGTGAGCAGTAGCTGGAGTGTCCACCCACACATGTATTTTAAAAACAAGCAGACAGAATATTGCTGTATTCCAATTCCTCTTCCCAGAGCAAAGCAGGCTCATGATTAATGGAACAAACAGCATGGAATAATAAGCAATATTGCTTTATATGCAGGGTCTGTAGCCACGAGGTACCCAGTGAACTTCAGAAGAGTAAAAGCTTGTCTTAATCATTGCCTGCCTCCTCTGCAGTGTCTGTGTCGTAAATAAGGGACATCAAAAGCTTTGGAGAGCTAATGAAAATGCTAAAGAGGCTCCAGACCAACCCAGCGTAGCAGCCTCCTGCTTAATGGTGTTGCTGCGTGCCGGGCTAGACCTGCCACCCCTAATTATTTCCTTTTTTCCCACTTTGGGGAAAAAGGATGACATAAAATCCTGTTAGACAGGAGTACATTTAATGATGCAAAAAGGGTGGAGGAGCAGAGGAAGGAGGGGAGCCCAGCATTGCCGTGGCTCGGCTGGGTTTGTTCACAGTCCCGTGGTGGTGGAGCTGAACATCGCTGGCACTGCTGGGTGCTGGAACAGGGGCTGCCTTGGGGGCTGCCTCTGTCCTCATCTTTGTCCTCTTCACACTTCCAGCAAGTCTGAAAATTAGAGGGAAAGGAATGATTGTGTTTTCCTGGATTAGCACAGAACCAGAGTGTTCCAACCCAACCGCTCCTCCCGTTGCCCTCAGCTCCTATCTGGGTGGGAAGGGGGGTGTGGGGTCCCACCAAAACCCACCTCCTCTTGGCAGCTTGTGCTGAGAACTTGCTCCAAGCCTTGAGCAGAGGGCAAATGCAGCTGATTTGTGGTGAGAGGGGCTTTTCACAAGGGGGATTGGACTTAAACTGAAGAAGTGCAGGTTTAGATGAGATTTTGGGAAGGAAATTCTTCCCTCTGAGGGTGGTGAGACCCTGGCACAGGGTGCCCAGAGAAGCTGTGGCTGCCCCTGGATCCTGGCAGTGTTCAAGACCAGGCTGGATGGGGCTTGGAGCAGCCTGGGACAGGGGAAGGTGTCCCTGCCAGTGATGTCTCCTCCAGCTAAAGGCACGTGGTTTTTCCACACCTGGATATAGGTGCCCACAGGTACCTCCTTCAAAGCAGGCAGAGCCCTGCTCCAAAGCCTCTGAGATGGAGAGCAGCAGGGAGCTTTCCTTTCATAGCTCAGTGATGCATTTGTGCCTTTCAGACTAAAAATATCTAAGGATGGAGATATGAAAACTCCTCTCCTACGATACGGTGTTCCTTTGTTCCCACATGTTTTCCTCCAACCCCTGCATGCCATTATCTGCCTCAGGCTGCCCGTGGGTGAAGGATGAGCAGCTCACACCCAGGCAGTGAAAATCCCTCCTTGGAGGGAAAAACATGTGGGACTCAGATTCAGTCAAAGAAAGAAACTGAGAGTTTCTAGCCAGGCAGATGCCCGAGAAAGAGCTGGAGAGAATGTAAATAATTCTTTATCTCTCTTGTTCTCACATTGTTTATAGTTAAGTTCTATCACTGTGTGTAAAGCACTCTGCACCAATGCTTGGGTTGTTTTTACTTCAGAACCAATGGATTTGGTCCTTGCAAAGCTCTGTATAAAAGAGCAGTGTATTTTGAATAAATTTGAGTTTTTACTCTCAGCAACCTTCTGAGTCAAGTCTATTCATTCCCATCCTGCCTTGACAGCGACACAAACCCATCCATCACATGGAGTCCTTGGATCAAGACCAAGGTCTCATCTGGGATGGGAGTGAGGAAAAGTCTTCTTCTGCAAGCGCTGGCTGCCCACATGCTGCTGCCCACATCCTCCTGACTGCTTGGAGCATCCCTCGAGCAGGGATGGAGCAGATCCCAGCCTGCACCCACGTCCAGCCCGTGGGGACCTGCTGGGATGGATATGGAGCTGAGGGAACAATGGGATGCATTCCTTGCGCCCCCGAGGAAGAGCACACCTGAGCTGCAGCACACAGCTCTGTCCCTGGGTGGTTCTGACGTGTCATTTCAACAGCAGAAAGCCCAAAAATAGAAAAGAAAATTAATAAATAAGGGAATGTTCATGCTCAGATTGTTTTAGCCATTTCTGCTGTCAGATGCTTTACCAGCTGGCCAAGCTGGAACCAGGGGAGAGTGGCTGGTTTTGTGATTATCTGGAAAGATGAGCCAGAATATGGCTCAAAAATGGGAAATATTTGTATGAACTGTAAGAAATTACTCATTCCCACAGGCATAATTCCAGACATTGATTCATTTAATTTTCAGTGGAAAAAATAAGTCTTTACATCCAAGAAAGAGGATGCTGAAGGGTGGCTGGTGTTTGCTATGTGGAACGCAAGGACATTTGGTGTTTAATAGTTTTTGTTGCATTAATTATTGCTCCAAACAGCCTTAGCAAGGCTCTTCCCGGGGGTGTCCAGCATGGACACCCAAAATGGGATCATTTATCACACATGCTCCTTTTGGACAGCCTTTTCCAGGGAAGGCTGGGGCCAGCTGCCCAGGGATGGGGATTTAAGGGATTCCTTTGTGGAAGGAATACATGACAAATAGTAAGGGAAAATAAGCATTGGGTGGGTTCAGACCATATTCCTGGGGGCTGGTTCTTTGGGACAAGGGTGGGAAAAGCCAGGGGAGACTGGGCTCCTGCTCCTTCTCGATGGCACTGGAGGGAGGGAGGGAATGGCAGCTGTTGATGCAGCAGGGATGGAAATGGGAGAGCAGGACCACGACCTCCACCCCACACCAGCCTTTAGCCAGGGGCGAGCCCCTGCCTGCTCCCAGCTAATTTCAGTCTTGTTTTTCTCTGCATTTCTGGTTAAATACAAGCTCAGCAAAGCCACCAAGTCAAAATTCCCATTCTGCTAAGATCCTGGGAAAACCGAGTCAAAATTCCTGTTCTGCACAGATCTTGGGGAAAAAAATCACTGATATTGAGGGGGTTTTGTCCAAGAATTAAGATTTTCTGCTCTGCCTGCTCCTGCCAGGATTGTTGGGGCCAGGAGCAGTGTGGCTCATTTTCTCCAGCATCAGAGATTTCCATGATCCCTCTGGGAAAGCCCCTTGGGTTCATTCAGTGAATCCCTCATGGAGCATCCAAGGTAGGAAGGAGCAGCACTGTCAAACAGGCAGAAGAAATCTGGCTTTGCTTCCTCTGACCAAAGTGCACCCTGAGAGCAGAGCTGCTGCAAACCCTCCCAGGCTGAGCTCTGAACTCTGAACCTCGTTGTGCAGGAAATAACGAGAGCTCACAGAGATAAATGGTGCTGGGGGACAGGATTCCACCCTGGATACTGCTCCAAGGCCTTCCCAGTATCTCACCTCAGACTGGGTTGGGTTGGGAGGGATCTTAAAGCCCACCCAGTGTCACCCCTGCCATGGCAGGGACACCTCCCACTGTCCCAGGCTGCTCCCAGCCCTGTCCAACCTGGCCTTGGACATTCCAGGAGTAGCAACAGCTGCTCTGGGAATCCTGTGCCACACACTAAAAACAATAATAAACATTTACATATATATTTGTGCTTGTAGGAGAAAGGGAAACCTGTGCTTGTATCACCAGGATCTGAAGAACTCAGTCCTGCCTCCAGACAAAGGTGAGACATCCCCAGGGTGAATGTCTGGGAGGGAGCAAAAGGAAGGAAAAACAAGAGATTCCCTCTGGCTGAGCCTTTATCCCGCTCCTGGTGGAAAGGAAAATAAATGTTTAAAAGAGAAAATACAAAGTTCAAACCAGTGAGCCCTCCCAGCGTGCCCAGTGCTCCCAGTATGCACAGTGCAAGCCCCAGTGCAAGCAGGGTGTGCCCAGTTCATGCCCAGGGTGCCCTCCCAGTGCGTGGCAAACTGGCCAGAACGGGACAGGAACCCCAGCAAAGCTCCCGGGAATCCCTGACAAGCTCCCAATAGTTAATTAACGCTGGCTAATTAAGCTCTGGGTTAGGACAGAATGGAGGGAAGCTGCTGCTCCAGCCCACGAGAGGGCAACGCTTCCTGCCTGGCTGGTGCCACACTTGGGAAAACTGGATTTCTGTGCTTTTAATTAGGAATCGGACGAGGAATTCCTTCCTTTTTAACCGTCCTCCTAAAGGTTTTATTTGTTTTCTTGGGGTTTTTTTTGGGTTTTTTTTGGTTTTTTTTGTTTTGTTTTGGGGTTTTTTTTTGGGTTTTTTTGGGTTTTTTTTTGTTTGCAGACTGGTGAGGCCATCTCCTCTCCCATAAGAGCTGCTGTGTGTGGGCACAGGCTGGAGCTGGGGCAGCCTGGCAGTGCCAGGGACAGCGACAGCCCACCTGTGCTGGCATCAGGAAAAACCATGGAAAAGGCCAAGGAGAGGTTTTCCTGCTGCTCTCAGGACAGGTGAAACGTAAACTTTAAGGAATTTAGAGATTTCAGAAGAGCTAAGATTTTAGTTAGAAATAAGCCTTACTAGAGTTAATTAAAATAATAATAATAAATGAGTAGGCCTTGATGAAGTTAGGAGTTAGTAGTTAACTAATAATTGATTGCTTGTCAGCACAATGTTTAATTAGCTGGGTTTATAATGAAGAATATAAACTGACAAATTGCTTTTAGGAACATAAGACAATTGTGGGCCTCCTCTGTTCTGAAACCAATTGAAGACAAGAATGGGAGTTCTACCAAGAGTTCATTTGTCATATTGGCATTGAAAAGGTAGAAAGGTCAGAATGAGGAAGACTCCATTGATTTCCTCATTTTGGGACCCCTCCCCATGAAAGGGACACCGACCCATTTCAAGGGACAAACCACGCATGCTGAATGGCTTTTGGAGTTATTAACATACGAAGTGGGGAATGGGATGTACTAAAATGATGAATATGCATTTGTATTTTGTGTATTCAATACTTGTATGGATAAAAAGACTCTGTAATCACCTGGAGGCTGTGGTGTGGATTTGGGAGCTGTCCCACACACAATAAACACACACTTTCTAACTTTAAACTTTAGAGAGTTTTTGTCCGTCACAGTTGGATATTGATACTAGATCAATGTCCATGTTTTTTAATAAATCATAGGGATGCTCTGGGAAGAGGTGGTGATGGGGATGAGCCCAGCTTCTGCCCCAGTTTTGTTTTCCTGGAATTTTGTAGAATCCCAGCCTGGTTGGAGTTGAGAGGAATCTCAAATCCCATCCCATTTCATCCTTGCCGTGTGCAGGGACATCTTCCCAGGCTGCTCCAAGCCCTGTCCAGCCTGGCCTTGGACACTTCCAGGGATCCAGGGGCAGCCACACGTTCTCTGCACAATCTGTGCCAGAGCTTCCCTCATTTTCCAGCCCTTCCATACCTGCAGCTCCCAGGCAGGAGCCCGTATTTAAATTTCCATCCACACCCTCCCTGCCTCTGCAGACAAATGTATTCCCAGGTGATCCCAGCATCAAAGCCCCACAAGCAGAGGCACGCCGGGCTGTTGGGGCGGCAGACAAGCCTTTGCAGATACCCCATCCGCCCCTCCCTGCCAACCACCCAACTCCCAAAATTCCCAACCGGAATCCCGCCGGATTCTCCATCACCCCCAGAACCCCCGCGTGTGCTCCGACCGCTCGGGCGCATCTTTATCCACTCAACCCCTTCCCAAACACCAGCGGCCTGAACCCACCCTCCTTAACGGGACGAACCGGGTTTGGATGTGGAATTCCGCGTGGATTTGGGATAACCGCGTGGCCACGCCCACCGGAGCATGGCCACGCCCACAATCCATACCCCGCCCTCAGTGAGGGGCGTGGCCAGGCGGAGTGGGCGTGGCCTGTGGGGAGCGGGGCGTGGCTTCGCTCGGTGGGCGTGGCTTCGCTCGGTGGGCGTGGCCCCGCTGCCGCTGCCGTCGCCCGTGGAGACCCCGGGAGCGGCGCTCGGTGAGTACCGGGATCGTCCCGGGATCATCCCGGGATTATCCCGGGATTATCCCGGGGCAGGGGGGTTCCCCGGGGAACAGCGAGCCCCGCCGCCCGGCACAGCCCGCGGGGGCAGCGGGGAGCCCAGCCCAGCCCGGCCCGGCCCGGCCCGGCCCCTTCTGCTGCCGGGCCTGCGGGCCGGGCCGGGCCCGAGCGCTGCCTGCCTGCTGCTTTTGGGGTGGCTTTTGGAGGTTTTTTTTTATATGTTTTTTTTTAATATGTTTTTTTTAATATGTTTTTTTTTAATATGTTTTTTTACCGATTTTTTCCTTGTGCTGAGGAGGGTTCCCGGCGGGAGGCAGCGACGTGGTTCAACAAGTGGAATGAGGAAAAAAAAAATCTGCTTAATTGTGTAAAAAATAATCTGCTTAATTAGGCAGAAATAACTCTAAAACACGCAGGTTTTTTCCTCCTTTCCTTCTTCGCTCCCGACCTTCCCCATGGCACCGATGGACCCGGAGCTGGCGGCTCCAGCCCCGCGGGGCCGCTCCCAGCGCTCAGCCAAATCCTTTATATTTTCCCATTTTTAACATTCCCAACCGCCAGGCCACGGGTTTTTCCTTGGAATCACCGAGCTCTGCTTGGCGGAGGAAGTTTCCCACGTGCGGGGAGTTGTGGGCCGAGTGTGGGAAGGAGGTTAATTAGTGGGAAGCGTCATTATTCCAGGAGGTTTCGTTTTGATACTGAGATTACACACCCTGTTGCAGTAATAGGTTTGCTTGGAATCATGGAATTGCAGAACATCCCGAGCTGGAAGGGACCCACGCGGATCATCGAGCCCAACTTCTGGAAGTTTTTATTTCCTTTAATAACTTTACAATTGTGATTATCTATTTCGAGCTTAAATTCTTTACTTTTTTTGGGGGGGGGGGGGATGAGGGATTTGAGCGTATGTTGTGATTTTAGCCTGGTGTTTTTAGGAAGGAGCTGGAGCTGTGTCAGGAGGGGTTTAGGTTGGATTTTGGGAAAGGTTCTTCTTGCAGGGGGTGGTGGGCACGGAACACATCCCCAGGGAATGCTTCTAGGGAAGCACAGGGTGAAATTTTGGGGTTGTCCTGTGTGGGGCCAGGAGCTGCACCTAATGATCCTCGTGGGTCCCTTCCAGCTCAGGGTATTCTGTGATTCTGTTATTTAATTAGTGTGGCAATGGGAAAGTGGCAAAATGGAATTCCCAGCAGTTTGCCAGGCGATTTCCCGGGGTTTAACTGGCTCGGAACCCCCAGGGCCAGGGACACGTGTCTTGTGTGTGTTTTTCTGGGGTGTAAATGGGTTCAGAAATTCTGAATTGGCACGGTTCTGGGAGTAAAGGGTGAGTAGTGGACAGTGGCAGGATTTTGTGCTGCTCAGTGCCACTAAATGAGCTTGAGGGATTAGTGTGGAGTTAATGACTCCTCAATCCCGTATTTCCACAGCATTTGGGATATCTCTAATCAGGGAGCAATCAATTCCAGAGAGGAGCAGTGATGCTCTGATGCTGAGGGCGAGCTCATTCCATAATCACCCAGCTGATGGGGGTTTTTCCTTGAAAGATTAAATTCTCCTCTTGCCCTGAAGGAGCTGCTTGGGCTCCCAGGCAGCAGAACAACTGATCTCTCACGTCTTGATGGTGTTAAATCCAATTATCGAGTTGTGCTGTAGGGTTTTAGGTATTTTTTATTTCAAACATAATGTGATGACTTTTTAAGCACTGAAAGTTCTTAAGGTTTTAGGTTCTGTTGCTAAAAAGACTTGGAATATTTGAGTCTGAACTCCAGATTCATGTGGAGTTCTCTGTAGTAGGGCCTGCGGTGACACGGTAGAATTGTAGAATTATGGTGTCCCAAATGGTTGGGGTTGGAAGGGACCTTAAAGATCTTTTTCTGTTCCACTTCCATGGCAGGGACACCTCCCACTGTCCCAGGCTGCTCCAAGCCCTGCCCAATGTGGTCTTGGACAATTCCAGGGATCCAGGGGCAGCCACAGCTGCTCTGGGAATTCTATTCCAGGGCCTGCCACCCTCCCAGGGAACCATTCCCAATTCCCAATATCCCATCCATCCCTGCCCTCTTGCAGTGGGGAGCCATTCCCTGTGTCCTGTCCCTCCCTGCCTGTTTAAAAAATCCCTCTCCCTCCTTTTTCTGTGGCTGCACGTCCGTGCTGGAGTGCTGAGTGGGAGATGCTGAGCAGGGCACCACTGTAAATGCAGGTGAACTCAATGGGAAGAAATGACGATGTCTGACTCAATTCAGAAGGCTGAATTATTTCTTTATTATAATAACTACGTTAAAATATATTAATAAACTATATAAAAGGAGGATACTAAAACTACATATTACTTTCTCTGACTCTAACACAACTGGTGACCCTCTCTGAGAGCCCAGCCCCAGTGGGGTTGGATTGGCCATCAGCTCAAACAATCCTCACCAGAATCCCACCAAGCATCACCCCAGGGAAACAATTCTCCAAACACATTCTACATGGGAAAAACAAGGAGTAGAAATATAATTTTTTTTAAATATTTTATATATATATATATATTTTATATATATATATTTTATATATATTTATATTATATATATATTTTTAAATATATTTTTTATGTTTTCTCTTTCATTTTTCTCTATGCACCTCTATGAAAAATCTTAAAAAGGGAAAAAAAATATGCTTACCACAGGCACTCCTTCCCAGGACCCAGCTCCCGCCGTGTCCCTGTGTGACCGAGCTCTCTTGCGAAAGCAGACCCATATTGCTGCAGAAATCCCATAAACGCTCCCCCTCCGCCCTTTCCCTTTGTCCCCTTTGCCAGAGCAGAGATCACCGCAGGGGGGGCGGAGGGAATCGCTTCCAAAGGTTTGCAGTTATCCAGGGAAGCACCAGCACAGGATTCCGGGCAGGATTGAGCTGCTGCAGCTCCATCTGTGCTTGCACAAACCCTGGGAGCGGGGCAAGGCTGCTGCTCCTGGCACAGGATACCCCTGAGCAGGGGTTGGAGTGAATTATGGAATAATTAATAATTAATAATCGAAACTCTGTGAATTGGGATGGAACACCCCCAGTTTGTGAAAGTCGCCATGCGCTCGCTTTTCCTTGGGAAATGGGAGCTGCAGATGTGTGGTCACTCCAGGGATTCCTGCACTGCTGGAATTGTGCAGCTATTTGGTGAATTTTGCACAATTACACAGCTGGGGTTTGTTTTTCCAAACCTCAGTGTTCACCCTGCACTCAGAGTTGGGAGCTCTTGGTCCCACATCATTTCTGCTCACAGGAATCACCTGGGGGGAGTTTGGAAGGGTGAGACAGCACTGATGACACAGGAAAAAAAGAAAGATAGTTGGAAAAAAAAAGCAGAAAGCTTCCATTCCGTGCTTTGCAAGGATTGATGAGAAAGAGCAGAGGCTGTGACAGAATTCCTCAGGGGTGTGGTGGTGGGATTCTCCACGGGATTTTAGGGAGGGAGGTAGCAGCAGGATGGTGAGGGGAGCAGTGGGAGGTGGGAGTGTGGTGGGGGTACATCCAGCCCCACACGTGGCTCTGGGGCATCCAGCATTCCCAGGGGATGTAGCATTCCTTACTGAGGGGCTGCTGAGCCCCTTCCAGCCAGGTGTCCCTGGGGAGGAGAGGATCCACCCCAGGATCTTCTGGGGTGTCACAAGAAGATGCCTCCAGCTCCGGGACGCTCAGGAGAGGAAGGACCAGGAGTTGTTGGAGGGAATCCAGAGGAGGCACCAGGGATGGAGCAGCTGTGCTGGGAGGGCTGGGATTGTTCACCTGGAGAGGAGAAGCTTTGGGGTGAGCTCAGGGTGGCCTTGCAGGGCCTGAAGGAGCTGCAGGAAAGATGGAGAGAGCTTTGGGCAGGGATGGAGGGACAGGACACAGGGAATGGCTTCACTGCCAGAGGGCAGGGATGGATGGGGAATTGGGAATTGTTCCCGGGCTGGGATGGAATTCCCAGAGCAGCTGTGGCTGTCCCTGGATCCCTGGCAGTGCCCAAGGCCAGGCTGGACACTGGGGCTGGAGCAGCCTGGGACAGTGGGAGGTGTCCCTGCCATGGCAGGGGAACAGAACAAGATCATTAAGGTCTCTTCCCACCCAGACCAGTTGGGATTCTATGAAAACTGAGGCCTGGGATTCAGTGTGCCCCAAATCCCATCTCCCTGGGAGCCCCAGGCAGCGTGGCTGGATCACAGCTTTGGGATGTTCCTGGACACCGGCAGCTGAGTATTTTTAGTTGTGTCCTTTGAATATTTGGTAAAACAGGCAATGTGTTTATATTCAGCTTCCTGTGTCCGTATCAGCGTCTTGGCATGTGCTGGAGTTCCAGAGGGAGGAGGGAAAGGGATGAAAGTGTGTTGTGAGGATTATTTGTGCTGCAGCAGCAGCTGAGGCCGCTGGGATCAGCTCCTTGTTTAAACACTGGGCTCAGCTCAGGCAGGAGCCAGCCTTGCTCCCCTTTTGTTTTCCCCCTTTGTCTTCCCTTCCCTTCTCCCGTGGCTGTCCAAGCCTGCTGTGCAGGGCCAGGTGAGTTTTTGGCACACTTTGCTGTGGGATGTGTGATCCCAGCCCTCCTGCCCCGCTCTGGCAGGCAGCAGCCTGAATTCCCAGCCTGAATTCCCAGCCTGCTGCCCTGATCCAGCTGCTCTGTGCCATCACCCCTCTCCTTCCCGAGCCATTCCCTGTGCAGAGCCAGTGGGAGCACACTGGGGAGATTTTATCCCGGTTTTCCCATCTAAAGGAGGGGTTTCCTTGTGCCCAACCTCCCCCAGGGCCCATGACCAGGAGGTTTCCTTTAAGCTGAGGAGGGAAAATTCTCCTTCCCAGTTCCCAGGAGATTTCCAAGGGGACACCCTGGGACCCAGCCCTTGCTGCCTGAACCAGGGAAACATCGAGGACTGGTGGTTACCATAGAAAGGGAAAAATAGGGCAGGTTTGGATTAGATATTAGGGAGAAATTCCTCCTTGGGAGGGAGGTGAGGCCCTGGCACAGGTGCCCAGAGCAGCTGTGGCTGCCCCTGGATCCCTGGCAGTGCCCAAGGCCAGGCTGGAGCAGCCTGGGACAGTGGGAGTTGTCCCTGCCATGGCCAGGGGCGTTGGGATGAGGTGAGCTTTGAGCTCCCTCCCAACCCAAATCATTCTGTGGTTGCTGTGAAGAATTTTGACCAGATCCCAAATTACATGAGCAGCTCTGTTGGCAGCTTCAAGCCCCCTCCCAAAGTCAGGGATTTAGGTCTAAGCTTGGAGCTGGGATCAACAGGAAGTGTCCCTGACTCCTGTGGAGAACCATCCTTTTCCCAGCTGAGTCTGGTTCATGTTGCTGTAGAACTTGCAAGGGATTCCTCCTGCAAAGCAGGGATGCTCCAGCTGGAACTGGAGCTCCTGCAGTGCAGGAGGAGCTGGCTGGTGCTGCCAGCCTGGCCCAGGGGAGCTGGGACCCATCCAGCTGTGGAATTTCCTCAGCCCACAGCAGCCTGGCCAGGGGAGCTGGGACCATCCAGCTGGAACTGGGGCTCCTGGCTGGGACCCATCCAGCTGTGGAATTTCCTCAGCCCACGTGCCCTTCCCTGATTTATCCCTTCCCCAGCAGGGCCTTTTGCAGTGGGTGCATTACTCCAGCCTCAAACTATGCCAGCAATGCTGGGTTTGTGGGTTTTTCTGAGTGGTTTGATAGGAGCTTTGATTAGCAGGAATATCAGTGTGGCTGGAGGGTGGAGGGTGGCCCCAGGAGCTGAATTACTGCTCAGATGAACTAAAGATGGGCTTGGGCTGGCTGCTCCCTGAAGGTCTCTCCCAACCCAAACCATTCCTGCTTGTTTTGACTGTGTTTTCATCCCCCTCAGGATGCACAAGTCCATTTTAAAATTCTGCTTGTTTTTCCCTGACAGTTTCCAGGGGGTGTGAGCAGGTTGGGATGTTGCACAGATAAGCAGAGCAGCAGCTTTTCCATTCCAGCTTTGATTTTGTGCAGCAGTCACACGTCCCTGGAGGAGCTTACGTGTCACATTTATTTATTTTGGTTTCCTTGCTGGATGTGGACAGGACAAGCCTGGCACGGGGACAAGGACTGTGGCAAGGCAGACTGTCCTTAACACAATTTATTTTCCTCCTCCACACAATGATCTGACCAGCACTTGTTAAAAGTGTGATCCTGTTTCCAGCAGGGGAAGTGGAATGTGATTATAATGGGAATACTGCCCCTGTTGGAATCTGAAATGTAGGGAACTCCCAGAGCTTTGGGCCTGGAAGCCAAAGCTTAGAATTAAACCCAGGATTTGACCTGAAACCTTGGAAAAGGCTCCCAAACTGAGGTGCTAGAAGTGAGAATGTGGATTTGCAGTTCAAAGCAGAGACAGGTTAAGCTTAATAAAAGAAAGTTTAGAGTTTTAGAGTTCAAGGTATAGAAAAAATAAAAGTAATTACAGAAATAAACAAGGAATTTAGAACGCAGCACTGTGGGTTTGTGTGCCATAACATGATTAGCTAACAAAGTTCACACTTGTAGGTGAGTCCATAAGACTAAATACTTCAATATTGAGTCAAAAACATAAAAACCCTTGTTGACAGTGTTTTATTAGTCAATAACTCCTTAAAAAGTCATATAACTGAGGGTCTTGAGACCTTCTAAACCATACTGTAACAATACGAGCCAAATTCGCCCTTCCTGCATGTGTAGAAGAAAAATAAACCACATCATCAAACCAATTCAGAAGTCTCGTGTCAAACACCTTCCAAAATTCCCTGCAAGTAAATTATCACTGCCTGCCTGGCTCAGGACCACCCCTGGGCCGTTTCAGGTGGGTTTTTCCCTCTGTCTCCCCTGGGATGAGGGGAGGGCACGGCTGTGGTGGCTCCTTGGCCGGGCACGGAGCAGCGCCAGGCTCGGTGCCAGCCCCTGGCAGCGCAGCTTGGATTCATCCCAAAGGCTGAACTGGCAGGGGCAGCCCCGGATCCGGCCGTGCCCTGGCTCTGCCAGCTCAGGAAGTGCCTCTGATCCCACTGCCACACTGGGAATTCCAGCAGAGGGTCCCACGGGAATTGCCAGCCCCTGTTGGGCTGGGAGGTGTTGGAGCTGAGCTGGGTCTGTTTGCACACCCATGTGTGAGCTGCAGGGATTGTGCAGCAGCACAGCCAGGAGAGGGAAGGGAAAGGTGATTTTCCTTGCAAATCCCCTCCCTGCTCCAGCTCTCACAGAATTCCCATCACCTGATGGTTCCCACCACCCCCACAGGGCTGGGGGGGCTCACCTGGAGAGGAGAAGGATCCAGGGAGAGCTCAGAGCCCTGCCAGGGCCTGAAGGGGCTCCAGGACATGAGGGCTGATACAATTCCAGGTTTCTTTCTGGGTGTGCAAGGCCTCCACAGGGAATGAGAGCTCTCAGATTTGCTCAGGCAGTGATTTACACCCAGCTGTGAGCACACATCACTGGAGGCTGACAGCTCCGAGTCTCCAGGGACAAAATAATCCTGGAATGGTTTGGGTTGGAAGGCACCTTAAATCCCATCCAATCCCACCCCCTGCCTTGGGAAGGGCGCCTTCCACTATCCCAGGCTGCTCCAAGTTTGAGGTGGATTTTCCAATCTCAAATTAATGTTTTTGTGATTAACCACAAAATCCAAAAGTACCAACCCCACCCCCAGCTTTGGCTTTCTTGCACTGTGACATCCTTGTAATTTTGATTTTATTCTTGTTTCAGGATCATTACACCGATAAAATCAAGGCAAGCTGGACAGGGAGCAAGTCTGCCTATGTAGGTGAGTTTCCAGTCCACGCTGGTTCTTTTATTTCCTGCAAAATACAAAGCAGTGTGACAGGTCCCAAACCCTGATGATTTAATTTTGTTCTGGAGCAGAACAAATATAAAGTCCTTGGCAGGACTGCTGAGACTTTTCACCTCATTCTTTTAACTGCCTGGCTGCTTTTGGGTTGAATTTAGGAGGCAGAAAAACCCTGCTTTTCCCACAGAAATTAATCTTTTCCTTGTTTATTTCCCTGATTAGGTGAAAATTTTTATCAGCCTGCAAATCTTCATCATTTCTGTCTTTGCTGTGCTTACACGTGTTTTTGCATTAAAAAATGCAAATTATTCTATATTCCCCCCCCCCATCCTTAAAAACATGCACCTGGATAAATTCCAGCAGCCAAGGAGGTGGTGAAATCCTTCCCAGTTCCCAGTTCCTGGAGCTGAGCCCCGTGGGGCTCTCCCCAGAGCATCCCTGGCTTTATCTGTGCCAGACAAAGAATCTGCTGAAGGTCACAGAGCCTGGAGCTTTCAGCACAGCCCTCTCCTGCTTTGCAGCCTGATTTTCATGCAGCTGAAAGTCTCTCTGCAAATTTCTCTTTGGAGTTTTCCCCTCTTTCCCTGTGGGGAGGAGCAGGGACCTTCTGTGGAGAGGCTGCCCTGCAGGGCAGTGGCTTCAAGGCTGATGTCTTTAAAATAACACTGCTCAGATGTTTTTCAAAGTAACCTTGATCTAAAAGTATCTTTTCGTGTGTGTGCTAAAGGAATAAAAAGTGAAGTCAGGAGAAATGCAGCGGAAAGCAAAAGCAGGTTTTTCCACTGCTCCTCTCCCAAAATGTACAGAATCCCACAGTGGGGGCTGACTTTGAAAGTCAAAGGGAGCTGCAGCCCAGTTTGATCAGCAGGATGGTGCTGGAATGACTTAGGAAGGGGAGGTTGTGGAGGAGCACAGCCCTAATTAAACACCCAGAACACCAAGTCCAATTGAAGATCTCGGGAGTTCTCTGTTTCCTTTCATTTCACATCATTAAGGATTTTAATCCCCAATTAAAACACTGGCAGCATTATCTGTAATTAAAAAGAGATCTCTAGTGCAGAATCTCTCAGTACTCTCAAGTGTAAATTCTCTGAAGTAGGGAACATCACAAATGGATGTTCTGTGCTTTAAGGGGCTTTTATTCTGTGTTTGCACTGGCAGGCACCCTGTGCAAACCAGGTGGAGCTGGGCCTTGCTGGAGCTTTTCTGCTGGAAAATTGGGTTTGAAATCTGAGCTGCCTGAGCTCCCCCAACCCCTTCAGCTGTGGAGCATCCCAGAGCAGCCCAGTTCTCCCCAAAAACCACTGCAAGTCCTGCAGCTGCCAGATGCTCCAGCTTTCCTTTTCCAGGCTGTCATCCTGGGGGGAGGATCTTGCTTTCTATCACCAAACCTAAACTTTTTCTAGCTCATATAAAATATTTGTGTAATCTCAACTGAGTCCTGCTTAAAAATCCAGTCCTGCTTAAAAATCCAGCCCTTCTTACCTGCTCATCACCAGGGAGCTGCTACTCACAGCTTGGTTTGGGGTAGGTGTGGAAAAATCCTTCTCCTTCCCCATGGTGGGAGGTCATGGGTGACCCCTGTTGCCATTTTTCCTGGGAAGTTTGCACTGTGGATGTTGTGTGCAGTCTGCAAAGGGCAGGAGTGGCTCGGGGTGCTCCCAGAAATCTGTGGAATATTGCTCAGCTTGTCTCTCTGCTTGCTGTGTGGGGAATAAGGATCGTGACATTCCAGAATTGGGGTTGGGAGGGACCTCAGAGCCCACCCAGTGCCACCCCTGCCATGGGCAAGGCCACCTCCCACTGTCCCAGGCTGCTCCATGCTGGCCATGGACCCTTCTAGGGATGGGACAAAAGCACCATCAAAAGAGAACCGACCCAAAAGCATCTCAAATCCCTGCTTTGCTCAAATCCCTGCTCTGTCTGCTGACAGAGAGTAGGACCCCTGTGTTTTCCTGCTGCCCAGCTTCATTTCCCATTCTCTTTGGCAGAAGGAAAAGATTCCAGCTCCGGTGCTTCCACTGGGTGTCAGCACGGCCCCACACTGGGCCAGCAGAGCCCTGGGCTTTCCCTTGGGCTGCTGGAAAAACCTGGCTGGCAGCATGGCTGGGGCAGGAGCAGCTCTGCCCGGCTGGGATGGGCTGGAATTGGGCTGGAATTGGGCTGGAATTGGGCTGGAATTGCTTCCTCTCCTTCCCCTCTCCTTCCCCTCTCCTTCCTCTCTCCTTCCTCTCTCCTTCCTCTCTCCTTCCTCTCTCCTTCCTCTCTCCTTCCTCTCTCCTTCCTCTCTCTTTCCTCTCTCTTTCCTCTCTCCTTCTTCTCTCCTGCCTCTCTCTTTCCTCTCCTCTCCTGCCTCTCCTTCCTCTCTCCTTCCCCTCTCCTTCTGGCTGAAAATGGAGCCAGGCACACTGATGTTCCTCCAACAGATTTTCCCACTGGAGGCCTAAAAACTCAGCAGTCAGACCTGGGGAAGGTCACAGCTTTGCAGAGAGGCTTTGTGCCGCTCCTGTGGAATTGTTGTAGCTGTGGCTGTGCCCCAACTCAGAACCCAGTGGTTTATTCCTGCCTCCACCTTCCATGCCAGCAGTGGCCTCCTGGCTAGGACTGGGAGCATTTTCAGGTTCTGCAAGTCATGACAAACCCTGAGCTTCCCCAGGGTGCCCTGTAGGAAAACCAACCCCAGCATTCGAGTCCCGGCCAGCCCCGCTCCCGCAGAGACCACGGGAGCCTCACCCCACGCCTGCCCTGCCCCTGGAGTGGGGCACCGGGCTCTGGCATCACCCCCTGCTCGTGCCACCCCTCCTGGGGCCGTGGGGGCTCTTTTTCCCTGTTCTCCATAAGGATTTCCCTCAGCTTGGTGCCACTCTGTGCATCCCCTCTTCCTCCTCCCAGCACCTTCCTGCCCGACAAATCCCTGCATTTGCAGGAGCAAAATTTTATTCCTTTTATTCCTGTGAGCTCTGGGAGGTGTGAGTTGCTACGATTTGGGGTTTGCTGGTGTTATTCCCAAGTTGTTTGCAGGGTGCCAGCTGAAGGCAGAGGGATGAAAGCGTGCCAGGGAAGGAGGAGGGAGCAGAATTTGCAGGCAAGGCTGTGTCAGTGGTGGTGAGAAACCAGAGCCAGCCTCAAAGTCTCCCAGCAAACAGCAGGGAGTTTACAGGCCTGGGAATGGTGTCACTTGGAGACCTGCAGCACTCCTGTGGAATTCCTGAAACCTCTAACTCGAGCTCCAGGCTGGAAATGAGCTTGTCCTCATCCTCTGAACTTGTCCAGCTGCTTGTTTCCCTCTTTTCCCCCTGTTCCTGTGGATTTAAGAAAAGTGGGATCATTCCCATGGTGGAGATTTATTGTAAATGCAGGTGAACTTGGTGGGAAGAAATGATGATGTTTGACTTTAGTTTGGAAGGCTGAATGATGTTTTTATTATAACTATACTATAATACATTAATATAATATTTAAAGGAGACATTAAAACTACATACTAACTTTTTCTAACTACTGTATCTAACTTGCTCACAATTTGTGACTCTCTCGAGAGTCCAGACACGGGTGGATTTGATTTGCCATTAGGCTTAAACAATCCTCACTAGAATCCAATTAAGTAATTACTTCAGGTAAACAATTCTTTAAACACATTCCACATGGGAAAAATGAGGAGCTCGAATAGAAAATTGTTTTCTTTTTCTTCTTTCTGTGTTCTTCTATGAAAAAATCTTGAGAGAGAGAAGAATGTGCCTGCCACAGAGATTGTTTCTGGTTTATCAGGCTGCAGCATCCAAACATTTCCAGGCTGGAGCATCCATCCTCCTTTCCATCCTCCACAGCAGGGCTCCAGTGGCTCTGGAAAGGGAGAGACCTTTGCAACCTTCATTTCTAGGGTGGCTGAAATTTTAAATCCCTGCTGGCAGCTCTGGAAAACCAAGCAGGGGCTGGAAAACCAGCCAGGGGCTGCGGGGTGTTACACGGGTGGGCGCTGTTGTTGTCACTGGTGTTGATTTGTGTTTTGCCCAACCTGTTCTGTCGATCCAAGTTTTGATTTAGTCACCTCAAAATCTGCTTTATTTCAAAAGCAACAGTTACAAGCCACCTTTGAGGGTTTATCCTGCTGCCAAGCCAGGCTTTGCTGCTCCAGTATGAGCTGGCTTGGCATAACTGGAGCAAACTGGGAGCTGTGTTCCAGGCAGAGCTGCTGGGATTTCCAGCAGATCCCCAGCCCTGCTCCAGCAGTGCTGATTTAATCACCTTTCACTCAGCAGGTGCCTCACAAGTCCTGGATCTAAGAGAGTAAATAAGACAGTCCAGAGTTTAATTATCCCACTGGAGCTGGGCTTTGGCAGCCAGCCCAGGCGGATCTGGGGATCTGCTGCGTGGCAACCTCACTGCCTGAAGCCTGAGGGAAGAAATAGGGCAAGGCCTGGAAAAACAGGGCTTTTCTGTGGAAAAGAGAGAGGGGCAGCTCCACCTGTCTGCAGGGGTTTCAAGAAAGGAAAAAGTGCAGGTGGGAATCCAGGGCTTCCCTCTGGCTGCCCTGGGACCCTGGCAGGGGTCAGGAACCCCCCTGGACAGAGCCCCAGAGACACTGGCTGTGATCTCTGTCCATGGAAAAGAGTTTTCAATCTTACAGGGTGAATTACCAGCTCTGAGTGTTTGATATAAGTAATAATTAAGTGTGGCACGGGTGCAAAAGTAAAATTTTAGGATTCTAGATGAGGGGTCCAAAGGGGACAAGATGGAGGAAATTGGGTGTGCCTTGTCCTTTTTCTCCTTCTTCATGCCCTCCATGTTTCACTGTGGTGTTGGCATTTTTCTGTTGGTTCAGGCTGGGGACACACTGTCCAACGTAGGTGACAGATATTGGCACGTTATTGTAAATCCAGCACAGGTAGTTTGTGGTATTTAATGTTTGTACCATCCCACTGAGGGCAGAGCCCCACACTGGAAGTTTCCTGTGGTTTTGACTTTTCCTGGCAGAGCACAGCTGGTGGGAATCCTCCTCTGCACTTTTCAGTGGGTAAATGAGAAATAAATCCTTCCCTGGGAGGGTGGGCAGGCCTGGCACAGGGTGCCCCTGGATCCCTGGCAGTGCCCCAGGCCAGGATGGGTTTGGTGGCCCTGCCATGGCAGGGTGGTGCCCAGGGGAGGCTGTTGTGGCTCTGATCCTTTTGTCTCCTTTTAGGCTCTGAGTCAGACCCAAGGGAGAGCTCCAGCCCTGCCTGCAGCTGCTCTGGGCTTTGGGAATCTGTCCCCAACACCCCGGCTCCTGCTCAGCTTTGTCACACCCGAGGTTGTCACCACATGTCCCTACAGGGAACCCCCTCCTGCCTGAGGTCACAGCAGAAAATCCTGCAATGCTTTGGGCTGGGAAGGACCTTAAATCCCACCCAGTGCCACCCCTGGACACCTCCCTCTGTCCCAGGCCTGGCCTGGATCACCAACCACGTTTTGCTTTAGGTGGTGGAGGGATAAACTTGTTTAAAATGAATTTTTGGTGCCTTTAGCACAGAAGGAGGAGCTGTGGCTGGGAGTGTGGGACACGAGAGATCCCAAAGGGAAAGTGCAGGGATGGGGGAGGCTCAGGGCTGCCTGCTGAGCACCAGGGATCATTTCCTAGAAATCCGAGCCGTGCCCTCTCCCGCTCAGGGCTTGTTTCTTCAGGGAGCAACTTCTTCTCCTGGCAGATCCTCCAAGCCCAAAAACCCTGCCCAGGGCTCTGAACCCCCACATTCTGCAGAATTCTGGCACCTCCAATTTAAATCCAGGGAGTTCTGAGAAGTCCAGCGTGCCCTGGGAGAAATCCCATGGCTTCAGCAGCTCGGAGCCCTTGCCAGGAGCTGGGAAGGAAAACAGATTTATTGGGAGCTGACCTAGTTGTTGTAAATCTCCCTGCAGAAGAGATTTAGTAATCTTAGGAGGGCTATTAAAGCTCGTGTTTGTTTGGAGATGGGCAAACGCAGCAATTTAATTTTCAAATCTTACGGTTTGGCTTGTTTTGTTTTGGTTTGTTTTTTTCCAAACATCTCATTTATTAACAAAGCTGAGCAGCTGGGAAAATAAGCACTGGAACTTTCCTAAGGAGGTCAATCCGTGTAGGGTGGGAAGGGATCCAGAGAATCCAACAGCTCCAGTGGCAAAAGGGGGTTTGGGGCTGGAGCAGGGAAAGCTGAGTTTGGGCTTTCCCCAGGTAAATGAGAGGATAATAATGGTTTATCTCTTAATTTTACAACTTTTTAAATCTTAAAAAAAAAAAATTACTAAAATTAGAGAAATCAGCAGCTCCTGAACTGTCCTGTCAGAGCTGCATTTGTTACTGGATAAAAATAAATTGCTTTTTGTTGGATTTTTCACAGTGCAGTTCTTGAATATTGTGAGGGAGGAGTGCAGGGAGTTTGGGCTCAGTTTTTGTCTGTGTGACACAGCTCCTTGTTATCCCAGAGATGAGGGATGGGGCTCAGAGCTCCTGCTGAACCCAGCAGCTCCAGCAGTGCCTGTTGGAGTTTCCTGCTAGGAAAATGCATTTTTTCATCCAAAGGGGCTCCAGGAGAGCTGGAGAGGGGCTGGGGATAAGGATGGAGGGACAGGACACAGGGAATGGCTTCACTGCCAGAGGGCAGGGATGGGTGGGACATTGGGAATTGGGAATTGTTCCCTGGGATGGAATTCCCAGAGCAGCTGTGGCTGCCCCTGGATCCTGGCAGTGCCCAAGGCTGGGTGGGACAATGCTTGGAGGATCCATGGATCTGCTGGGGGAATCTCTTACTCTTTACTGCAGGAAGTGAGTTTTTAGCAGCACCAGATCTGAGGAGTGCATGTCCCTGCCCCACTGGGGAATTGCTGTGCCCAAAGCTTTTCCAAGGAATGTGCCCAGCACACAGGGCCTGGAGCAGGGGAAGGCTGTGCCAGGCTGGCAGGAGCTCCAGCTGAGCCCAGCCCTGCTGCCAGGCTGGGGACAGAAACCTGAGCCCTGCAGGGGCTGCTCCAAAGGTCAGCTCAGACAGGAGGGGCTCACACACAAGCCCAGCTCCCCTCCTCTCCTGGAGCTGGGCAGAGCCTGCTGGAGCTGGGATACAGCACAGGGACACAGCAGGGCTGGGCTCGGCTCCTGGGGCTCCTCCAGACCTGAATTGCTTGGAATCCCAGACTGGTGTGGTTGGGAGAGAGCTCAAAGCCCACCCAGTGCCACCCCTGCCATGGCAGGGACACCTCCCACTGTGCCAGGGTACTCCCAGTGCCAGCCTGGCCTTGGGCACCCGGGACTGAGCCAAGGCAGGGAACCAGCCTGGGACAGTGTGGGAGTCCAGGGCTTCCCTCTGCTGCCCTGGGACCCTGGCAGGGGTCAGGAACCCCCCTGGACAGAGCCCCCAGAGACACTGGCTGTGATCTCTGTCCATGGAAAAGAGTTTTCAATCTTACAGGATGGATTACAACCTCTGAGTGTTTGATATAAGCAATAATTAAGTGTGGCACGGGTGCAAAAGTAAAATTTTAGGATTCTAGATGAGGGGTCCAAAGGGGACAAGATGGAGGAAATTGGGTGTGCCTTGTCCTTTTTCTCCTTCTCCATGCCCTCCATGTTTCACTGTGGTGTTGGCATTTTTCTGTTGGTTCAGGCTGGGGACACACTGTCCAACGTAGGTGACAGATATTGGCACGTTATTGTAAATCCAGCACAGGTAGTTTGTGGTATTTAATGTTTGTAACATCCCACTGAGGGCAGAGCCCCACACGCTGCCCTGCAGGACAGAGCTGCGGCAGGGCAGCAGAACATGTTAGAGATAAACAGAATAAACAACCCTGAAACAGCACAGACCAATTATGGCTTCTGCTTTGGCAGCGGGGCTGACAGACAGAGACTTTCTACAATCTCAGAATCATCAATAGCACAGATTCCAACAGGACAGGATGTTATTCCTCCCCAGAAAGGTTCTCCAGCCCTGGCACAGCCGAGTCCCCACGCCTGGAGGGATTTCGGGCCCTGTGGATGTGGCACCTGGGGACACGGTGGCCCTGGCAGCGCTGGGCACGGTTGGACTGGATGGGCTCAGGGAATTTTCCACCCTCGGTGTCCCGTGGGTCCAGCCTGGCTCACCCCACTCCTGTCCCCACTCAGGAGGGACTCTGTGGCTTTGCAGACCCTCTGGGACCCCTGGGGAAGCTGCAGAGGGGGGATCCCACACCTGCACAGTGTGGGAGATGGGTTTGTAGGGAATTCTCCAGCATATAAAACAGCTCCTGGTTGTGATGGTGTGGATTGTAGCACCTGTGTTGTCTCACCCTTCTCATGAGACTGAAAATGGAATTAAAGCTTTTCCAACACCTCTCAGCTGCCCCATCTCTGGTCAGAAAATCCCACAGCACACCAGCTCCTGCCTTTTCCTGGAGTGTTTTACCCCCAGAGTTGTTTTCCAGCTGATTGATCCTGTTGGATACAACAACAATAACGATTAAAAATCACTTTTTGCAGCGTGTAGCAGATTGCAGTGTGTAACAGCAGGTCAGGGTGCTGTGCTGCCTTCTGGAATAACAAACCCCCTGTCTTCCCAAGCAGAACCTCCCTGCTCCTCAACATCCACAAAAATGTCAGGAAAAACAGCCACCACCACCAACAACATCGCCCAGGCCCGCAGGACCGTGCAGCAGCTCAGGATAGAGGCGTCCATCGAGAGGATAAAGGTGAGCACAGCCTCCTGCCCCTCCTTTGCATTCTTTTTCCCCTCCTGGCTGTAGGACAGCGGGATAACAGAGTGATGGAATTTAGGTTTGTGGTGGAAAAGTGTTGTTTTTTTTTTTAATTTGTGTTTTTAAAGAAAAATTTAGTCGTTTTTTGTTGTTTGGTTTTAAGGTAGTTTATTGTAAGTTATTTAAAAGATTGGTTTTTTGGGTTATTGTGGTTTGGTTAGTAGCTTAGGTAGAGGTACACACACTTTTGATATTTTTTGTTGGTTTTTTTGGGTTTTTTTTTTGCTTTTGGGTTGTTATTTTTTATATGGTATATTATGTGTTAAATGTTTATAGTTTCAGTGGTTGGTTTTGAGTTTCATTAGGTATTTTTTGTTAAAGTTTTAGGAAAAATTATGGGTTTTGGTTGTAGAGTAAAGTATGTTTTTTATATTTTGGTTTGATTGGGTTAAGGGTTAATATATTGAGTGTGGGGTTTCCCCAGCACCTCTCCCATGGCACCCAACTCCCTCACAGCCCTCAGCATTTTTTATAGTTTTGCTTTTAGAATTTTAATGGTTGATTTTGAGTTTCATTAGGTATTTGGGTTTTGGTTGTAGGGTATGTTTTTTATATTTTATATTTTTATATTTTACATTTTATATTTTGTATTTTATATTTTACATTTTACATTTTATATTTTATATTTTTATATTTTATATTTTATATTTATATATATTATATTTTTATATATTATATTTTTATATATTATATTTTTATATTTTTATATATTTATATTTTATATTTTATATTTTATATTTTATATTTTATATTTTATATTTTATATTTTATATTTTTATATTTGGTGTTGTTTTGATTGGGTTACAGGTTAATATATTGGGTGAGGAGTTTCCCCAGCACCTCTCCCACACCGCCCAGCTCCCTCTCAGCACTCTGCTGCCTTTTCCATGGCAAACCCATTTTCTGCTGTTTTTGCCCTGCCCTGCAGGTGTCCAAGGCCTCGGCAGACCTGATGCTGTACTGTGAGGAGCACGCCAAGAAGGACCCTCTGCTGATGGGCATCCCAGCCTCGGAGAACCCCTTCAAGGACAAGAAAACCTGCATTTTGTTATAGGGCAGGCAGCTCCTCCTGCCAGCCCTGCAGCCCCCCAGGTACCTGCACCCCTGGGTGCTCCCTGAGCCTCTCCAGAGCATCCCTGAGCTCCCCAAGGCGTTCCTGCTGCTCCCTGTCCCTCCCAGGAGCTTTTTCTCTCCATCCCTGCCCGAGGGAATGGGCTCCAGCCTCTCTGCAGGGGGGTCCTGGTGGCGTTTGCCAACTCCAGCACGACCAAAGTTGCCTGAGCTTTGCAGAAGCAGCAAAGCTCTAGAGACCTGATGGAATCACTGGGTTTACATTTTATAAAATTATGGATTTTTTTTTTTTTTTGATGTTGTGCCTGTGCTGGCAGCACCTGTTTGTGCACAGGCACGCTTAAAGTGCATTTTCTAGCAAAATCTACCTTGCAAAACGATTGTAGCAGCTGCTGGGGAGCTCCAGGGAGCTCTGCCTCAGCCTTCCTCCTGCTGGCCTCTCATCCCAGGGCTTTTACAGGATAAAGTTGGGAATCAGAGATGCTTTCCCTGCTTTCCATGGGTTGGAAAAGCAGAATTTCCAGCTTGGATTCTGCTGCGTTTTCTCCTCAAATAAAAAAACCTTTATTAGCAGAAAAAACACCCTCCAAGAAATTAAAAAAGAGAGGCTGGAAGTGCCCTGGCAGAGCTGGAGGAACGCTGCCCTCGCTCCCAGTCCCAGCTGGGTCCTGAGCAGGGAGTCAGAACTTGACTCATTTTTATAAAAAAAAAAATCCATTTTTAAACAGGAAAAATGCCAAATTAGCTCCAGCTTGTGGTTATGCATTTATAATTGAGGGCCTTTCCATCTAGTATATATTTTATATATACATATAATAAAAATGTCTTTCTCTGTGTGTGTGTGTAGATATATAAGCCTTATATATTAACAGCAAATTTTGAAGGGTTCAGAAATAATCCTGGCTTCACCTGGCTGCAAATGTCCTTCTGTGCAGGCAGCTGAAGTCATCTGCCATCACCCTGCATTTCTGGGGGGATATTTGCAGAATTTATGAACCACTTGTCACTTACGTTGCATATTTGTCATTTCTATATGAAATTATAGACCCACTTTTGATACAGAATAAACAAAAATCAACTTTGTTTGACAAATCTCTTTGGCAGAGCTCCAAAAAATCAGCCTGACAGAGAAACCTGCTGCCTACCTTGTGCTTGCCTGCAAATTATTTTTGTAATCAGAGTATTTTTTAGTAGAAAAAAACCCCAAGCAACGTGGCTCTGCACTAATTCCTTTTCAGTGAGTCTGTTTGCCACACACCTGGCCGGAATTAATGAGCTCTGTTAATTGCTCATGTGGGGCTGAGGGGAGGGAGGGAGCCTCGTGCTGTCAATCCTTGTTTTCCCAGGGATTTGGGAAGAGATTGGAATATTTTTTTTGGTTGTTTGAGATCCCTGGTGTGGCTGCAGGGATGTTTTTGGTGTCTGCCCCTCAGAAAAGCTGATCCAGATGTGGGATCCTGCCTGGTGCTCCAGCACAGCTGCCCAAATCTGGCAGCATTTAAATCCCGAGATTTTTGGATGAATTTGCCATTTTTAAAATAAACGCTGAAATCTGGAGTGATTAGGTTTGCTCTTTGCTTTTTGCCATCAATACCCCCAGAAAGAGCAGAGATTGTAAAATCTGGGGAAATGCAGACTCTGCCCTTGTAGATTTTTTTAAAAAATAAGTGAAACCATTGCATCCATAGGTAGTGGGAGAAACCCGTGGTGAGACCTCAGCATGGGGCATCACTGGGCTACCCCTCTTGTCCAAGCTGGCTGACCTGGGGAGAAAAATGAGAATTTGTGTGTGCTGATTTGGGGAGAAAAATGAGAATTTGTGTGTGCTGATTTGAGGAGAAAAATGAGAATTTGTGTGTGCTGATTTGAGGAGAAAAATGAGAATTTGTGTGTTGATCTGGGGAGGAAAAGGAGAATTTGTTTGTTGATTTGGGGAGAAAAATGAGAATTTGTGTGCTGTCCACCAACTTTGTGGTGTGGGGACAGGGCTGGGGGTGACACTGGGAGAAACCAGAGGGGTTTGGATTGAATCTGAGCTTGGAGAAATAAATCTGCTGCTGCTGCTGCAGTGTCCCCAGGCACAGGGTGGGACCTGGGCTGGGGACAGGGTGGCCTTGTGCTGGAGCATCCCAGGAGTGGGAGAACAGGTCCAGCCTCCCCTCCTGGCCTCCAGGAAACCCTGGGCCAAGTTTTGCTCCACCAGGGAATCAGGATTTCCACCTGCCAAGGAGGAGCTGCAGGAGCACGGAAACCTCGGCAGCAAAGCCCCTTTTTTGGGGTTTTTTTTTTGGGTTTTTTTTTGTCACTGTTGTTTTTTTTTAGTGCCTGTTGCAGCAACATTCAAGCAAAATAAATAAATAAATAACATTCCCAACATTTCCTGCAGCACACGGGCTGCTTCAGGCTTTAATTGCTTGGGAGGGGCCGGGAATGAACCCACACTGGAGCTGCACAACAGGACCTTGCCCATGGCCAGGAGGAAGCAGCTGCCTGTGCTCCTGCAGCGAGGAAATAAAAACCTGGGCCAAAAGTTTGATTTTACACTTTATTTCAAAAAAAAAAAAAAAAGAAAACACAAAACAAGAACACCACAACCCCAAAAAAACACTCGAATTTCAAACAATTATATTAATGGCGCTGCTTTTGCAGCCAACTGGGAGAAGATTCGTGGTTGCAGAGCAACTGCTTGAGGGCATTTCAGTTCTCAAACCTCCGAGTATAAATAATTTTTTCCATTGATATCAGAAAATAACTTATTATTATTATTATATATCTTAGCATAAAAACGTGAGAATTACATCCCAAAAGTACAACAACATTGCTGGCAAAAGGCCTCGATTAACCTCGTTTGCTCGTTAAGGTGTTCAAAGCAGGAACTTGAAGTGGCACTTAAGGACAGGAGGAGAGGGGAGTTGGGGCTGGGCTCATCCCTGTTCTCCTCAGCATCGCTCAGCTCCAGCCAAACCCCCCGCAAGTGACATCAGTTTTAGCTTTATTGGTTTATATCTACGTTTCCTTGTTGCTGTCGGGTTTTTATTTTCCCTCCCGGAGCCAGGGCAGGGAGTTCCTTTCCTGAGCGAGAGTTTTGCGGCGCTGCAGGGCCGGGCCGGGGTCACCGCTCCGGGAGGTTGATGACCGGCACCCACTGGTCCAGGTACCGACTCTCCCGGCAGAAACACATCACCTGGCTCAGCGCCGGGTCCTTCCACTGCGACGCCTGCGGGTTCTGCAAAGGGGACGGCAAAAATAAAAATAAATAAATAAAAAGCTCCGGCACGGCAGCAAAAACAACCCCAGAGCGGCAGGCGGGGGATGGGGGGGAAGCGCAGGAGTGTGAATCATCTGAAATTGCTGGCGAGGCAAACAAACAAGTCAGGCCTGGGAGCGTGTCAGGAGTTTAGCTTTGGACTCTGGGGCAGAGTGGGGAAAGGGGGAAAAAAACAACAGGAGGGAAAGATTAAAGTGGGGGAAGGGAGGGAAAGAAAAAGGGGAAAATAAAGAGGGAAGGGGGGAAAAATAAAGAGGGAAGGGGGGAAAAATAAAGAGGGAAGGGGGAAAAAATAAAGAGGGAAGGGGGAAAAATAAAGAGGGAAGGGGGAAAAATAAAGAGGGAAGGGGGGAAAAATTAAGAGGGAAGGGGGGAAAAATCAAGAGGGAAGGGGGGAAAAAATCAAGAGGGAAGGGGGGAAAAATAAAGAGGGAAGGGGGGAAAAATAAAGAGGGAAGGGGGAAAAATAAAGAGGGAAGGGGGGAAAAATAAAGAGGGAAGGGGGGAAAAATAAAGAGGGAAGGGGGAAAAAATAAAGAGAGGAGGAAAGCAAAGTAAAGTAAAGACAGGGCAGGAGAAAGAGGCGAGAACAAAGGAGGGAGCCGGGGCACAGCAGCCAACGGGGCCGAGCGCAGCGCAGCCCCCGGAGGCACCGCGGGACCCCCGCGGCCGCCCCGCCGATGTCGCGGGTTCGAGCCCCGGGCGCGGCGGTTCGGGGGGGTCCCGAGCGGCACCGGGGAGCCGCGGGGGTCCCCCCGCGGGGGCAGCCCGGGCTCACCGTGACCAGCACGCAGTGCAGGTCGGCGGGCGGGTCGGGCCCCGCGGCGGGCAGCAGCAGCTCGGCCAGGCGCGCCGGGTTGCTGACGCGCAGGATGTTGATGTCGTTCTCGCAGCAGAAGGCCCTCAGCAGCGTGAAGTGGATCTGCAGCGCCGCGTCCCCCGCCTCCTCCTCCTCGGCCGCCAGCAGGCACAGCACCACGTTATCGGGGTCCCTGCGGGGCACCGCCGTCACCGCGGGCGCACCGGGCGGGGCGCACCGGGGGGAGGACGGGGATGGTGGGGGGGTGGCACTCACACGTTGAGCAGCTTGGCCGCCTCGTAGACGCCGAGGGTGAGGCTCCGCTGGCTCAGCGCCTTGCTCAGCACCTCCTCGAGCGCGTCCCCCGCCTGCTCCATCCTGCGCCGGGACACGCCGCACCGGCCGTCACCGGCCACCCCGCGCCGCTCCCCGCCCGGCCCCGCCGCCCCCCCGGCCTCACCTCCCGGCGGCGCGGCGCTCCCCGGGCAGCTCCTCCAGGGTCATCACGGGGACAAGGACAGGGGCTGGGGGGGACAGTGGACAGGGGGTGGCGGTCACCGCGCTGGCGGTCACCGCGCTCCGGCCGCTCCGGCCGCTCCGGCCCCGCCGCCCGTGCCGGACAAAGGCGCCCCGCGCGCGCTGCCCCGCCCGCCCCGCGCCGCCTCGTTTGCATAGCCCGCTCCTATTGGTTCATGCAAATGAGACCACGCCCACTGCATGCTGAGTACGGCCGGGCCTGGCCCGGAACGGGATCGGGACCGGGAATGAGATCGGGATCGGGAATGGGATCGGGATCGGGATCGGGAATGGGAACGGGATCGGGAATGGGACCGGGATCGGGAATGGAACCGGGATCGGGATCGGAATCGGAAATGGGATCGGGATCGGGACCGGGATCGGGATCAGGATCGGGAATGGGAATGGGAATGGGATCGGGATCGGGATCGGGATCGGGACCGGGACCGGGATCGGGATCGGGACCGCAATGGGGATTGGGACTGGGCCTGGCCCCGCTCGGGACAAGGATCGGGAGCAGGAATGGGAACGGGACCGGGATTGGGACCGGGACAGTGACCCTGCCATAGAGCAGCCTGCTCCGAGCCATCCAACCTGGCCTGGGACACTGCCAGGGATCCAGGGGCAGCCACAGCTGCTCTGGGAATTCCAGCCCAGCCCCTCTCCACATCCCAGGGAACAATTCCCAATTCCCAAGAACTTCTCCGGGAAGCTGCTCCTGCTCCAGATGTCCCGTGTCAGCCCCGAGAGCTCCGGGCAGGATTTCTCCTGATGGCTGCAGTGTCAAAGCTTCCTCAGCTGTGGCACCAAACCCTTCCATCCTCCCACAGCCGCTGCAGAGCTCTTTCCCAACCTGGCTGTGGGCTGGTACATTCCCACCGGCTCCACGGCTGCAGTCAGGACCCTTGGTGGTCCCTCACGGAGATTTGGCAGCGTGGGCTTTAAAGTTTGGCTTGTGGCAGTGTTCTCCTGCAGCTCCTCAACTCCAGGAGCCGTTTTCCACAGCACAACGTGCAGAGGGATGCAGCTCCATGCAGCTCCTGCAGAACCCCTTTGGGAAATGAGATATCGCAGAATCCCCCTTTGGGAAATGAGATATCACAGAATCCTGGAGTGGTTTGGGTTGGAAGGGACCCCAGGGATGGTTTTTTTCCACTCCCTGCCACAGGCAGGGACACCTCCCACCACCCCAGCTTGCTCCAAGTCCTGCCCAACCCGGAACACTTCAAGGGGCATATCAAAGCAGAATAAAG